CTCGGGTCAACCGGGTCAACCGAATTAGCCGGGTCAACCGATCTAACCGAAGCAATACGGTTAACCCGATTGTATCCGGGTAAGCCAACTCGGTTAACCGATTAGGAATTTTTTACCCGGTTCAAATCATTAATTTAAACAAACATATATACGACACAGAATATTTGACAAAATATCATTGGCCAACTTTAATCTCGTAATTATTATATAGTTATTGCGCAGTTGTAAAAAATATGCACGTGGGTGTTTAATGACGGCAGGTGATTGGAGCAGATCATGCCGCTTCGCGGCATGGTCTAAGCCAATCACCTGCCGTCATTAAACACCCACGTGCATATTTTTTACAACTGCGCAATAACGGTATTATTATCCTGCGCTGTGATTGGCTTGTTTAATTTCCGGGGACAGATAATTGAGAGGGGGGATAACGTTAAACAACTATTCAACTTTGAACGGCCTAAATACAAAGTATTGCATGTTTCTTTTATATTTACAATTCACAAAGAAAATCTACAAAGTACAGGATGGTTGGCAAAGTACAAGGTGCAAAATTTCATTCGGAGGTCTAATAAGTAATCCGTCATTCTGTGGCCAATCATTACATGCATTACAGCATTATGGTTGAGTACGTAGTATATAGCATTTTTGCAAAGAGCATCTCCAGAGATACGGAAATTAAGCAATTTGTTTATTGTGATCATGCATATCAATGAATAAATAAAAAAAAATTTTAATATTTTCCGAAACTACTTAATCGCATTCTTCGATCAAACTACACATTAAATTATCCCGAAATTTTGGGTTTGTGTACGCGCTCTAGCCATTGTTTTGATTTCACGTTACACCTGATTCTGTTATCTAATTGGTCAAAAATCAAGGAATTGCTGATTTTTATGTTATACGTAGCATCTCGTATCTTCTCTTAAAAGTTGTTTTAACGTTAAGTCATGACAAATACTTTAGAAAAATGGCTCGAAAGAGCTGTTTCGGATGAACATTTCAATTATCTTGAATATAATAAATTTACTGACTGTAGAGTGATTGATATTGGAAGTCTTGGAACGGTTTTTAAATATAAATGGAAAGACTGCGAATTAACAGTCGCTCTTAAATGTATTAGCGTCGATACAGGCTTAGATGAAAAAACTGCTGAAAAATTTGTTAATGAGGTATTATTTTTATATAGAATTAATGTTTTTTTTATCTATTTTAATTATTATTTTAATGTTATTTTTATGTATAAAAGCTTAAATTATTAAGAAGTGTTAGTAACCATCAAAATATTATTGCGTTCTATGGTATTACTAAAGGTATAAATAAATGCATACACGTTACACATTTCATAATTTTTTGGGTGTAAAATAATAATATTTATTATAACTTATAGACTATAATGAAAATTATAACATAATTTTACAACACGCTGATGGAGGAAATTTACGAGAATACCTGAAAATAAATTTTAGAAGATTGCAATGGACAGAAAAATTACGTATTGCTAAAGAAATAGCACATGGTCTTTTGTTCTTACATGAACATAATATTGCTCATAAGAATCTTGTAAGCATATTAAAACAGTATATTCTATTATTTTATTTTACATGTTTTATGAAATTTAATTCACTAATACTTCTGTTAATTTAGCATTCGAAAAATATTTTAATTCATCAAAGAACTCCAAAGATCGCAGATTTTGGATCATTAAAACAAATAGACGAAATATCAATGATTTCGGACTCGATTAATCAGGAAATGCTCGCTTACATAGAACCACAATGCTTCACTACCCCTAAATATAAACGCGATAAAAAATCCGATGTCTATAGTTTCGGAGTAATTCTCTGGGAAATTTCAAGTGGAAGATCACCATTTAAATCCTTTGAAACGAAAAAGTCACTTGCTGTTCATATCTTTATAGGAAATAGAGAAATGCCTACGGAAGGCACTCCATCTCAATATATTGAACTTTACGAGCAATGTTGGAACAAGAAACCTTCTAATCGCCCAGAAACAATATTAATTTTCAATATCTTGAATCAACTTACTGTTAGCGAAATCAATGATTATCCTATACTATTTGACATCACGGCATTATCACCATCAACAACTTTTTTGCCTAATACCATTAACTCTGTATACTCACGTGAAATCACAGCAGTCAAACCATATTCGCCTGGTACTGTAAATTCGGTAAATTTTCATGAAATAACGGCAGTTACAACATTTCCGCCTTATTCAACAAGTTCAAATTTTTTAACGCAAGATAATAGTATACTTGAGAATATGAGAAAGGAAGCACGTGAATGTTTAAATGAAGGTAGATATTTTAAAGCGTTAGAAATTTATGAAAAAATTCTAAATGATAACCAGCATAATGATGAAGATCGAAAAAATGCTTCAAATTGGAATCTTTCGAAAAAACGGTTAAAAAATATAAATGAATTGATAAAGGCACTTTGCAAGAATACCATTTTGACTTCTTTGAATCTTAATAATAATAAGCTCGGTCCAAAAAAAGGAAAAGCATTGGCTGATGCACTTTGTCAGAATACCACCTTGACTTCTTTAAATCTTATAGTAAATTACCTTGGTCCGAAAGGAGGAAAGGCATTGGCTGATGCGCTTTGCAAAAATGCTACCTTGACTTCTTTGAACCTTACGTATAATGTACTTGGATTCGAGGGTGGAAAAGCATTAGCAGAAGCACTACGCAAGAACACTTCCCTTACTTCTTTGAATCTTCTTAATAATAGCCTTGAATCAGAGGGGGGAAAAGCATTAGCAAATGCTCTTTGTATTAACACCACCCTTACTTCATTAAATCTCTACAATAATGAACTTGGATTTGAAGGTGGAAGGGCATTAGCGGAGGCACTTTACAAAAATATTTCCCTAACTTCTTTGAATATCGGAGATAATAACCTTGGACCAGAGGGCGGAAAAGCAATAGCAGCAGCACTTTACGAAAACACCACTCTGACTTCTTTAAATCTTTCCAATAATCAACTTGGGCCTGACGGTGGGGCAGCAATAGCAATTTCACTTTTCAAGAATGATACTCTGGTTTCATTAAATCTTAACAATAACGAACTTGGTTTAGAAGGAGGGGGAGAATTAGCTAATGCACTTTGCAAGAACATGAGCCTAACTTCATTGGATCTTAAAAATAATGAACTTGGATCAGAAGGTGGAAAAATATTAGCAGAGGCCCTTTGTAATAATAATACTCTGATTTCTTTAGACCTTGAAAAGAATAAGCTCGGACCTGAGGGTGGAAAAGCAATAGCAATTTCACTTTTCAAGAATACCACTCTCGTTTCGTTAAATCTTAACAATAATGAACTTGGATCGGAAGGTGGTGAAGCATTATCAGATGCGCTTTGCAAGAATACCGTCCTAACTTCCTTGAATCTTCGGTTTAATAATAATTTTGATTCAGAAACAAAAAGGAAATTAAAAAGACTTTTGACAGAACCTAGAGGTGTGACATACTAATTCGAATGATCGAAGAATCTGATTATTCGGATAAACGATAAAATTGGGTCATAAATAATCAAATCGGATTATATCAGGTTTCATCTAATTGATGTAGATCTGCACATGATCATTGACAAATACGCAAATAAATGATTACCAACGAAACTTCATATATATATATATATTTATTATAAAATATGATATGTACTACTCAGCTGCACAAAAAATGCGCGGCAGATCCTCGATTTTGATTGGCTAACGGCCGAGGATCTTCAAAATTTTGGCCCGCATTACATAGTTGTTTACTAATTTCCGGCTGGAATTAACAAAATAAAAATTTTTAAAAATAAGCCCGCATTATCGTTCGTTATGGTAAAATTTGTCCAGGAACAATTTTCACGGCTGCGATTTCATTAGTAAAATTAGGAGTAATCCCGGCCTAGTTTTTTGATCCTCGCTCTTGCCGCGCATTTTTTGTGCGGCACCTAGGTTCAATGCAGCAAGGATAATTTAACAAAAACTTAATCAAATTTAATAATTTTTTTTTTAAATTAATTCTACAAGTTTGTAAAAATTATTTATTAAATTTGGTCAAGGTTATTCTTATCCAAATATCGATAATATCGTGTAACGTATTACAAGTCATTCTTTGGCCGAGTTTTAAATACCGTTTATTTCTGCGAAGTTACAATAGGGAAATATAGAAAAAAAGTAAAATACCGTTTAAACTTGTTTTTGTTTATTAATGAATATAAAAAAAAAACAATAATTTATTATAAATTCTCTAACTTCTAAACTGTTTAATCTATGCTTTATGTCAATTATTATTAATCGATAAATTATTCTAGTGCAATTAACCTTATGCCTAAATGCATTTATAGGCGTGGTTTGGGCGTTCTTTAATCTTGCCACATTAAACATTATGAATTGGCAATTCTTGAAAATCGTGGGTTAACATCAAGAATATTAAAGATGTGCATTTTTATTATGGATGTCTAGAATATTAATCACTCAACGCCCAAACTTCGTTCCACTTGACTTATAAATTAAATTGGATTTTTTTAATACCGTATCCTATCGTGAATAAGTACTACACCCTCTACCCCACTTTTTTAAATATCAGATTAGCGCTAATAATTTGGCTAAAGACTTCATTGCGATTTCCGCTAAAAAATTGGGGTAGAGGGTGTGGTGCTTATTCACGATAGGATACGGTACTCTCAATGATTTCATCATTAAAACTCAGTCTATTTTCTCTTTGCCTTATATAAGCTTCAAGTAATTGAAGATTTTAAAGTTATTACCGAAATAGTGGGCATGGGCGTTATTTTGAATTTTGACCCGCATTAAGCTTAATGCGGGCCAAAATTCAAAATAGCGCACATGCCCACCAGTGATGTAAATTGGGTTCGTGCAGTAGGCGCAGCGTACATAGATTTAAATTTGCGCGTATAATAGCGCTCTCCGTATATATAGCGCGCGTATAAATTTTTTTTTTTGTGCACATTTTTTTACATTTGCGCGAATAAAAATTTTTTGAATTTATAACACTGATGCCCACTATTTATAGTTAAAAATAAAAATTGTACATCCGTACCTTTTCATCATCTTTATTTCTTTTTGACTTGCTATCAACATTGAAAGATTTACTTCTGGAAGAACTAGATGATATCTCACATTCTTTCGTGCTAGCTTTATGTTTTTTTGATTTCTCTGATATCTGCTCTTCGGCTCGCCCAATTTCTTCTTGTATAGTAATACTTTTGATAGTGCGTTAGACAAAGAAAATCGTAAACACCATATAATGTTACGCTTGGTAAGATCAAAAACAATACATACTCTATGTACCCGATCCGAAATAGCTATCGATTCTAATTCTTTGAGATGCTTTTTCCATAATAAAATATTTGCGGAATCGTTATCAGAGTTCTTAGCGAAAATATGAAAGAAAGTTAGACCGAAGTGTTTCATCGTAGATTGATTAATTGATTGCCTGTTAGCCACACATGCTATAATGGAGCCCACGGCCCAGACTATAACATGCTTCCCACTTCAAGCAACAACGCAAGTTGCCTTGTGCAAAAATTCGCTCAGAACACGACTGCAGGGTCATTAGCAAATAATATCAACGGAGCTACCGACGCATATTATAATGGGACCTACAAGTCCAGACCATAATATACTTCCCACTTCAGGCAACAACGCAAGTTGCCTTGTGCGAAAAATCACTCAGAACACGACTGCAGGGCATGGTAATGTGCTCCTATTATGAAACATAATGAGAAAGGTACTGACCTCCAAAGCCTTTTTCAAGGCGCTTGCCTTGGAATAATATCGACTTCTGTCTGATAGTTTCTTAAGAAGGATATTAAGTTCAAGACTCAGGGACCGATGTGCTTCGTCTTTAGTACACCCAGGAGTCTTGTCGATAAAATAAACGTCCCAGTCGCTCACACTTCCCCATGAGTTTAGATCACTACTCCAGTATGCTAGAAAGAGAAAGTGAAAATATTGGAGTTTCTTCTTGTGATCATAGAAGTTTTAGCAGAAGCTTACTTGCATGGTGAAGACCCCAGCTTTCCATTTCTTCAGCTAAATTTTCCGTTGCAATAATCGTGGGCGTGGACATGGTTAATATTTTACCTTTTTCTTAGTGTTTTTAACGCTCTTTTAACACTCTTAAACCCCACTTTCATATTCGTGCTACACATTTTGAATATTCAATACAAGATTGTTCTTTTTTTGGTTGGGATCGTTACCCTCTTTTAGGCGAAGAAAACGCTCTTAAACCCCACTTTCATATTCGTACTACACATTTTGAATATTCAATACAAGATTGTTCTTTTTTTGGTTGGGATCGTTACCCTCTTTAGGCGAAGAAATCCATGTAAAAGGAAATGATGGTAGCACGATTTGAATGCGTTTTGTATTATAGTCTCTAGATAATGATCTGGATCTTGATCTTGATCTTGATTCCCAGCGCTCCGTTTTCACATTGAACCTACAGGGGCGACCGTCCTACAGGGGCGACCGTCCCATCAATTTGTAGATCGTTACACAATTGATAAAGGCTTTTTTTATATTGTTTTACAATAC